TTGTGCGCTAAATCTTTTTGGATTGCTAACAAAGAGTTAAAGGGAGACTGGGACAGCTATTTTGAGCTAATTAGCTCTCATCAGCCAGCCATACCTTTCTGAGATAGCCCTTCTGTGGATAGCTCTAGATTGGGCTGATACAGGCAAAAGATTTCTTCCTCCCATATTTGGGCCGACAGGGTGCATCAAAAAACACTCAAGATGTATCTCCTCCTGTCTCTTCCCTCCCTGATACAGCTAACAAAGTGAGAAAGAGCCTATGGCCTAGGGGTCAACACAGCTGCCTAATGTACAAGCAGCCCAGGTTCGAATCTCAGAAGCGTATGGCTGGCTGATGAGAGCTAATTAGCTCGAAATAGCTATCCTAGTCTCCCTTTAACTCTTTGTTAGCAATCCAAAAAAATTTAGCGCAAGATAGATAGATAGATAGATAGATAGATAGATAGATAGATAGAGATATAGATATAAAATTAATTTTTATATGATTAGGAATAGGGTGGGGTCGGAGTTAGAGTTGGGGTTAGGGTTAGGTTTTTTAAAATAACGTTCTTAATATTTAGCAAACAGCATGCTGTCTGGGTTCATGTATTTAAAAAACAATGAATAATAATTATCACAAACAATATGTTAATTAATCGCTCAATAGTCTTCTTACTAGTATATATATTCAGTGTTACATATCACCTTCTTTTCTCTCTAATGTGTTTTTCTAGCCATTGATAAAAATTATCCCATGTTCTAAAATACACTGAATCTTCTTTCTCTTTTATCTTTAAAGTCAGTCTATCCATTTCTGCACACTCTAAACTTTTCTTAATTAGTTCTTCTTCAGTTGGTAAGTTTTCATTATTTCAGTATTGGGCAAATACAATTCTTGCTGCAGTTAGTACATGCAAAATTAAATATATACAATCTTTCTCATAACTTGCTCCTATTATTCCAAATAAAAATAATTCTGGCTTAAAATCTATTTTAATCATTTTCTCCAACCATAAGTGTATTTTTGACCAAAATCTTTTAGCTTTAGGGCATGTCCATGGTAATAGGTACCTCGATTTTTTTTGCATTTCCAACACTTGTTTGAAGTATTTTTAAACATTTTTGCTAACCTCACCGGTGTTAAATGCTTATATACATTTTATATAAGTTTTCTTTATTGGCACTGCTTTCGTTAATTTTGCATTTCTTTCCCATAATCTTTGCCAGTTTTCTAATTCTATATTATGTCCAAAGTTCTTTGCCCACGTTATCATTGTTTCTTTTACTTGTTCCTCTTCCATCTTTAAGCTTAACGAATATTTATAGAGTTTCTTAATCAGTTTTTCATCTGTTTTTAACAGTATCTGATCAAATTCTGTCTGTTCTTTATAGAATCCAATTGTTTTAGCATCTTTTTCATATCTCGTTTGGATTTGCAAATATGGCCACCATGATAGATCAATACTTTGTTCTTGTAAATCTTGTCTGTCTTTCCATTTCCTTTCATTGTCCAAAATATCTGTATAGGTCAATTTTGTGTAAGCAAATGCTTCCATTGTTGAAAGCCATCCAGGTATCTTGATATAAATTTTCGCTTTTATTTTTTCCCATTCTAAAAGAAGTGCATTTCTTATAAAGTGGTTTTGAAAGTATCTATGAATTTTATTCTTCCCATACCACAGAAAGGCATGCCAACCAAGTTGTAGGTCATGCCCCTCTAGGTATAATGGTCTTTTATCTCTGAGCATTATCCACTCTTTAAGCCATGTTAATATAGTTGCTTGGTGGTATAACATCTAGTCTGACAGTCCAAATTCTCCACTTTCTTTCTCTTCTTGTAACATTTTCAGTCTGATTCTAGTTTTTTTTTCCTTGCCAGATAAATTTCAGTATTGTTGTATTTAGTTCATCAAAAAAGGTTTTCTCAGTCTTACAGGTATTGTTTGAAATAGAAAAAGTATTTTTGGTACGATATTCATTTTCACTGTTGCTATTCTCCCCAGCACTGAAAGTTGTAAATTTTTATACTTTTCCAAATCCAATTTTATTTGTTTTAGCAATCTTACATAATTGTCTTCTTTTATTATTGCACATCTTGCTGTTAAATAAATTCCCAAATATTTAACTTTTTTAACTATTTGAAGATTTGGGGTTTTTTGCTAGTTGGTTTTTTTGTTTTTCTGTTAGTTTTTTTAGTTAGCACTTTAGTCTTTTCTCTGTTTATTTTCAACCCTGCTACTTCTCCAAACTCTTCTATTTTTTCCATAAGTTTAGTGCTTGTTTCAAGCGGTTCTTCCAATATAAAAACCAAGACATCTGCAAATGCTTGTAGTTTATATTTTTCATCTTTTATCTCCAATCCTTTAATTTCTATGTCTTGTCTGATGTTTCTACTCAATACTTCCAGTGTTAGTATAAATAATAATGGAGATAGTGGGGATCCCTGTCTTGTGCCTTTTTTAATGTCAAAGTTTTCTGTAAAGGCTCCATTTACAATTATTTTGGCTCTTTGTTTATGATAAATTGTTTTAATTACATTTATAAAGTTTTCTCCAAAATCCATTTCCTCTAGTTGCTGAAACATAAATTGCCAGTTTATGTTGTTGAACGCTTTCTGTGCATCAAGAAATATTAAAGCCATCTGTTTCCCTAGATGAATTTCATAGTACTCTAAAACATCTAGAATCATTCTTAAATTATTTTTTATCTGTCTTTTAGGTAAAAAGTCATTTTGGTCTGTATGTATAAATTTGGTCAGAAATTTCTTTAGTCTTTCTGCTATTATTGAGGCAAAAATTTTATAATCTACATTTAATAACGATATTGGTCTATAATTTTTTATTTGTGTTAGATCAGAGTCTTCTTTGGGTATTAGGGTAATATTGGCTTCAGTCCATGTATTTGGTATTTTAGCCTCCAAAAGTATTTCATTGCACAGTTCTTTCAATATTGAGAGAATCAGGGCTTTTTTTTGGTCATAGAATGCCCAGAACGGAGTTCCAGCACCTTTTTTGGATGGAACCTTGTAGGGTAGGTAAGGCAGGTTGTCTGATGTGTGTGAGTTCCGGCACCTTTTTTTTTTTTTAATAAAAAAAGCACTGGAGAGAATCAAGAGAAATTTCATAAGGGTGAGAGCAATCAATCCATAGAATAGCTTGCCTTCAGAGGTTGTGGGTGTTCCATCATTGGAGGCCTTTAAAAAGAAACTGGACAACCATTTATCTGAAATGGTATAGGGTCTCCTCCTTGAGCAGGGGGTTGGACTAGAAGACCTCCAAGGTTCCTTCCAACTCTATTATTCTATGTTATAATGTCCTAATAAAAATATTCTCAAAAGCTCAATATTAATCTTCAAGATTCTTTGAATCATTGTATGCATTTCCATTTTTTTCTTTTTTACAAGTTACCCCATGTCCCTTCATATTTTTCACATTTCCAACATTGACTAGCAGTATGTTTATACATCTTAGATAATTTCTATGGTGTCATATACCAACAGTATATTATTATAGAAGTTTTCTCTTAAATTATAACACAATGTGAATTTCAGTCCCTTTAACCACATTCTCTCTTTTTGATCTATTTGTATATTGTAACCAAAATTCTTAACCATTTTATCATGAAATCATTAACTTGTTCCTCTTCTGTTTCAAATCTCAACAAAGATTTTTTTAAAGTATGTGTTTATCCTTTGTATACAAATTTCATACTATGTTTTACAATCCCCCTTACCTTTTTATCTACATTAAAAAAAATTCAATCCCAAATGCAGTCTGAGTTTTTACTCTTGGAATAAGACCACCATATATGACCAAATGAAGTAGTTTCCACTCAAATGCAGTTTGAATACCAGATAAAAAGACAAGTTACTAATTTTCTGGTGTTTCATTTGCTCAGGTTCAGGTTTCTGGTCAGTTTTCCTTTTCTATTCAAGAGATCTTTGTTCTATTATTAGAATTCAATATCCATGCTAGAACGTCTTGAATCACATTTCAACACAACTTGTAGAACATATATTGATTTTCAACTAAATCTTCATCAAGATTGAGTTTGGTATCGAGAGAGGCCTACTGGTTGCATGCTGAATGCAAAACTATATATGTAGAGAAAAACTTCATTTCATACAGGTGATATCTGCACCTATAATTGCCCCTCAAAGCCTAGCAGGAACTAGTGCAGTTTTGCAAAGCAAAAATTCTTTCAGTTGGATGAAAGAGTTCACTTGTACCTTTGAATTTAACATAAAATATGAGGAAATGTTGTTCTGACTTTTCTACTGTTTTTACTTCTATACTGTCCTTATGAGGGATGATTTGTTTCATACCAAATATAAAATAGTTGGGCCATCTCAAGTTTTATACCATTGGAACACAGCTTATTTAAAATATTCTATTTAGGGCAACTGGAAAATGGAGCAGAATTGTTCATAGATGTTCCAGAACTAGGGCAAGGAACAACAGGTTTAAATTATAAGTAATCAAATATTGATTAACATCAGGAAAAATTTCCAAGTAATAATAATTTTTCAACAACGGAACAAACTGTGTTTGGAGAATAGAATGGAATGGAATGGAATAGAATGGAACAGAATAGAATAATTTTTACACATGGGCCTAATATAAGCCCTACCCCCAAAATAAGCCTTAATTTTGGGGCGAGGTACAAGCATAAAAATCAAGCTAGGGCGGGAATGGATGGATGAAGCTGCCCCACGTGCCCTATATCCGCTTACCTTAGGACCCCTACAGCCAGTCCTCCCACACCCCGACACCTGTTGAGCTACTGCTTGAGTTCTTCTGCAGCTAAGGTTTACACCCAGGAAAGCATGGGTGATATTATATCCTTAAAATTAGGTATTCTTACTTTAATTTGAGAGCTATCATACAATTCGAGTTTGCTAATTGTATACCTGCATTAGAATGGAAAATAGTTTTCTCCTAGACAATTTAATCAGCTTCTACAACATTTGTAAAACACTTCATACTTAAATGCTGAAATAACTGTCTATCTTAAGTAGGTACCTTTATTTCCTGCTCCAGAGTTAGATTTCTCTCCAAACTGTATTCTACCATTTCTGTGGTCACTGGGAACTTGTTTGGTAGTTCTATGCATTTTTTAATTAGTACAGGATTGCAGCCATTCAGAAACTGGTATCCAAACATAAAATCTTCTTGCCAGTGCTGCATTACATATTCTAAGAAGAAAAAAAAACCAACAGATTGGTTTAGGAATTCAAGAAAACACAGGAAACTGAAAATATTATTAAAATAACTATATACCAGGGCAATTTGGAAATAAACCTCTGGTTATCAATGACAGATGCTCACAGATACAGAACATTTATTATACACATTAGAAAACTACAACATTATATTACTTTTTGACATAATCGCCATTCAAATTGAGGCACTTGTCATAATGTCTTACAACATTTGAAATTCCTTAGTAATCACTTGGCACCAAATCTGGGCTATGGGGGGGGGGGATGATCAAAAATATCCCAATGGAACTGCTTCAAAAGTTCTTGGGTGAGTCTAGCGGTGTCCAGGCAAGCATTATTGTGAACCAACACCACACCGGAAGTCAGCATGCCCCGATGCTTGTTATGTATGGCTTGTCTGAGTTTTCATAATGTTTCACAGTAGACTTCTGAACTGATGGTCGAACCACGCTCCATGAACTTCACTAGCAGTATTCCTTTGACATCTTCACATTTGGCAGGATTTTCTATGGCACCACTTCCAGTGTGGTGTTGGTTCATGATAATGCTCACCCGGACACTGCTAAGATGCACCCAGGAATTTTTGAAGCAGTTTTGTTGGGATATTTTTGATCACCCCCCCCCCCACATAGCCCAGATACTACACTTGATCTTAGCCAAAAGGCCAAGAAGCGACCTTATGGGCTTGCTTTGCACCTTTTATGGCACTTTCCAAATTAGCTCTGGCTGTTCTAAGTACCAGCATGTTGCTGGATTTAAAAGCCGCATTCAGTGCTTTCAGCATCTTGCGGACTACATAAGTCAGCCACAGTTTTTCATTTGCCTCACAACAATGCTTTTAAGGACACAGACATCCTCTATGCACTTTTGGATATATGGAGATACCGTGGTGGAGTACTCCTCAACATTTATATGTTGGTTATCAGTAGCTGCTTCTTTAAATATACCCCAATCTATGCTCTCAAAGCAGTCTTCTAATGCTTCTATAGCTCCCTCTGTCCAAACCCTCACCTGCTTTACTGTAGGTTTGACTCTGATTAATAAAGGTTTATAAGCTGAGAGGTTTATAAGCACTGAGAGATGGTCAGAGAGGCCCAGGTGAGGGCAGGAGATAGCTTTGAATGCATTCTCGATGTTGGAATAAGCAAGATCCAGTGTATTGACCCCTCTGGTTGCAAAGTCCACATATTGATGGAAATGTGGCAGAGTAGTTTTCAAATCGACTTGATTAAAGTCCCCCACTACAATAAATACACCCTCTGAGTGAGTAGTTTGTAGGTCATTGAAGGTATGATAGAGAACATTCAGGGCCTCATCTCTGTTTGCATTGAGGGGGGATATACACAGCTGTGATAATGATAACAGAAAGTTCTCTAGGCAGATAGAAGGGTCTGAATTTGATGGTCAGAAGCTCCACATCAGGAGAGCACAGACTAAAAATCACCTTGGCATTAATACACCATCTGTCATTTATATAAAAACAGACACCCTCTCTCCAGGATTTGCCACTAAGAGGAAAATTCCGGTCCAGCCAAAATGTTGAAAATCCCATCAAGCTAACAGCACTATCTGGGATAGAGGGCTTTAACCAAGTTTCTGTTGTAATGATGACACAGCATTTCTCATATCCCTGTTTGTTGTTAAATCTAGCCTCAAGTAATCCATTTTGGCTCTAAGGAGTGAGCATTTGCAAACAAAATAGATGGAAGTGACACTCTATAAGGACTAGCTTTTAGCCTAGATGTTAGGTCTCCGCATTTGCCATGTTTCCTCTTTCGGTCACACCTCCTCCTCTTCTTCCAAAGATGGTCAGCAATAGATAGAAACTTCCCAGCTGCAATGGTTGCCACCCCACTCTGCCTCTGCTGCCTGAAATGCTGCCTTTGCTACTGAAAACACTGAGCACGATGCTGTTTCCACCTCCAATAATTTCCTTTCTTCCTCCCCACTCTTCCAAACATTTCAGCCAATCTCTCACCCTCCGTGTCAACCGCCGGTGCCTCTGTTGTTGATTCTTTCCCCCGTAGTAATCCAAGGCCATGTAGACTCTCCAGAACAGTTTTCTCCACAGTTCCTCTCTCACTAAATAACTTCATCTCCAATATGGACTGACATTCGTATGAAAGTTTAGCAATCCAACTCTGCTTACTTGTCACTATTTTTGAAAAGTACTTTAGTCTAGATCATTCATTCCCCTCAATCATCCCAATACTTTGGAGAGCTGAAGCAGCCACAGCCAAGCAAGGGCTGCCATATTAGGGTCAATTTTATTATATTGTTATTATTATATTATTTCTCCAGTGTCTTGGGTTGTTTTCCCCTTTAAGATTTTCATCCATGAATCTTTTGCAAGCTCTCTCCAAGTTTGTTGAAATCAGATATTTTAAAATCTAAAACACTGAATAGAATAGAGCTTGAAGGGAATTTGGATGTCTTCTAGTCCAGCCCCTAGCTAAAAGAGGAGAACCTATACCAGTGGTTCTCAACCTTTCTAATGCCGCGACCCCATAATACAGTTCCCCATGTTGTGGTGACCCCCAATCACCGGGTGCCAGGGGCGTGGCCAAACAAAAGGGGGAAAAATGGCGGACAGCCTTGTTTGGCGACCCCTGTGAAATGGTCGTTCGACCCCAAATGGGGTCCCGACCCACAGGTTGAGAACCACTGACCTATACCATTTCAGATAAGTGACTTTCTAGTCTCTTCTTAAAAACCTCCAGTGATGGAGCACCCATGATTTCTGAAGGCAAGTTGTTCCATTGGTTAATTGTCCTTACTGTTAGAAAATTTCTCCTTAATTCCAGATTGCTTCTCTCTTTGATTACTTTCCAACCATTATTTCTTTCCCTGCCCTCTGGTGCATTAGAGAATAATTTGACCCCCTCTTCTTTGTGGCAGCCGCTCAAATACTGGAATACTGCTATCATGTCACCCCTATTTCTTCTTTTCTTTAGACTAGCCAAACCCAAATTCTGCAGTCATTCTTCATACGTTTTAGTCTCCAGGACTTTGATCATCTTAGTTGCTCTTCTCTCAACTTTTTCCAACGTCTCAACATCTTTTTTGTAGTACGGTGACCAAAATTGGTTGCAGTATTCCAGGTGCGGTCTTACTAGGGTTTTATAAAGCAGTACAAATACATTGCATGATCTTGATTCTATGCCTCTGTTTATATAACCCAGGATTATATTAGCTTTTTTGGCTGTTGCTGCACAATGCTGGCTCATATTCAAGTGATCATCCACTAGAACTCCAAGGTCCCTTTCACAGTTACTGTTTTTGAGATAGGTCTTGCCTAATACCTTTGATTTTTCCTGCCTAAATATAAAACTTTGCTTTTCTCCACATTAAAATTCATTTTGTTGGATAGGGCCCATTGTTCAAGTTTGTCAAGATCTTTTTGGATCCTGAATTTATCTTCTGAGATGTTGGCTAGTCATGCCAGTTTTGTGTCATCTGCAAATCTGATGAGTTCCCCTTCTATTCCCTCATCTACGTCATTTATGAAGATATTGAAGAGCACTGGGCCCAAGACAGAGTCTTGTGGTATCCCACTGCTTACTTCTCTCCATGTGGATGTAGTACCATTGAGGACTACTCATTGAGTATGGTTTGTCAGCCAGCTACAATCCATCTGGTGGTGATGTTGTCTATTCCTCATTTTTCTACCAAGAAGTATGCTGGGGGTCTACTTTGTCAAATGCCTTACTGAAATCTAAGTATACTATGTCCAAAGCATTTTGCTGGTCTACAAATTTAGTCACTTTATCAAACAATGAAATTATCAACACTGCAACAACCTGAACTGAAGCCATTTTCACTTTGTTTTCAGTTGCCACATATTTAGAAAGAAGGAGGGAGGGGTGTAGTTCTGAGTTAGCCAAAACAATTCTCATGTATGGGAACCAAGGTCATTACTGATAACATTTTGGCAGGATGGAGAGCTGGGAGGAGTGCCTGCGTTTTCTAATAATTGGTGAATGTGATTTATGACACCTAACTGGGTTGGGAATTTCTACTTGTAACTTTGTACCCAAGGGGAGGGGAATTTAGTCCTGGGTTCACCTTTGTATGTGCCATTATTATGTAGCCAAATGAAAATGTTCTCTGAGGAAGAATTCCTTGCTTTGAAGTTCTTTTAATTGGTCTCATCTACCGGAACCCTGACATTAACCCAAGACTAAATTCAAGCTAATGCCAGCGATGTGGCTGTGGGAGCAGTGCTGTTATAAAAAACCGTAAAGAAGAATTACAACCCTGCGCTTACACTTTGAAAAAACTCACTGACACAGAGTGGAGGTGGGCTGTTTGGGAGAAGGAAGCCTTTGCAATCAGACAGGCCTTATTGACTTGGTGTCATTTCTTAGAGAGGTGCAAGGTGCCTTTTGAAGTATGGACTGATCACAAAAACCTAGAGGCACTGAAAGGTCCCTGTAAACTGTCCCCCAAACAAGTACGCTGGGCACAATATTTTAATCATTTTAACTTTACCCTGAAATACATATCAGGTGGAAAAAATTTTTTAGCTGATGCCTGGCATTTGCGATCGCGGCACTGGTGGACATGCAGGGTGATCGCTCCCTCCGCCATCCATTTTTTCCTGCCGGGGGACCCTGAAAAGGGTCGTAAGTCGCTCTGGAGGGGCGACGAGCATGAAGAGGACTTCCGGGCAATTGTGTAAGGGTGGCAGCTCTCCTGTTTGATCCCGGGCAACTCTTTGAACTAACGGGGAAAAGATTGGCCATTAACATGGCCCATCACCAAGCCGCTACCAGCCGAGGCCAAAATTACTAACAAGCACTTCGAAAGCACCGGGGAGAATTGGGTGAGATCCTACCTTCTTTCTACCCTAAGTATTTTTCCTGTTAAAAGCTTCTTGAAATTTCTTTCCCCTGTGAGGAGAGAGGGAAGGGAACACTTTCCTCCCACCCTCTACAATGGCGGCATCTGACTACTTGGGAAAATAAAGCCTT